AACGTACGTACGGGATCCAGACCGGATATCACCCACCCGACAAATCATTGTTCGGTTGGTACGTAATCCACATGACTCATAGGGTGGATTATCGATTCTTGTGTTCTGCATTAAACTATTTATAGTTTAAGGGCCTGGTTAGAAATGTTGCCTAAGACTAGGAATAGCTAAGAGTTTGTTATAAAATGATTTGGCCTTAGATTAAGAATAATTTAAGAACATGGTTGAGATATTGAATATCAAATGACTTGGAATAAAATATTGAGAATATCATGAATGTTTGAATCATATATTGTGTGCATGATATCAAATGGTTGATTATGAATTGAGATTCAATTTATTTGGATGTTCGACGCTTTAGATATGCTTACTCAGCTTCATCGCTGAGCGTGTAGTATGTTTTATTTGCTACACGCAGGTAGACAGAATGAGTGAATGGCATGTTCTTGGCAGCGGAAGGGGCGAGACAGTCGTGGTGGATTTATTGAGAAAATAAATGATTCTGTTATTATGAACCATGTTTAAAAATCGCTTCCGCATTAAACACTCCGTATTTACTACAATTATGTTTGTAATTTCATTTATGATGAATAAAGCCATTTGAAATGTTTTAAATTATACGATTACCAAGTTAATACTTTAGTTCGGAAGGGGTTGTAAACCTGGACGGATTAGGGTGTTACAAACACTATGTTTGGTTCAAGGAATTTGAAAGGGAAAAGAAAAGAAAATGAAGTGGAAAACCATTTTTCTTGTTTGGTTAGAGGGGAAAAGAAAGAAAAAGTGGAAGGAAAAGAAAAGGAGGAGGCAAAATGTACCAAGTGGAGAGAAAATCAAATTCCTTCCATTTTGGTGAGGAAAATGAGAAAAAACCATTTTCTTTTCTTTTCCTTCCAAAATCCTTGAGCCAAACATAGTGTAAGTATTTTTCTACTTTTGATTTTTTTGGTCAAAATTGTTAACTATAATCTCAAATTAAATAAAAGTGATATTACATATTGATACAAGATTAAATTTATCAAATCTATTATATAAAATATTTTTAAAATATTATTTCATCTAATTAATATATAATATATATTTTAATCAATTATAGGCCAAGTATTAAAATTGAATGATTAAAAATTGTCAAAATTGGACAAATACTCAAAAAATGGAGGTAGTATCTTTTTAATTTCTTATGGGAAGATTCATTTGACAATGTCCTAAAATAAACCGAGAACGACCTTTATATTTTTGGGACACCCACGATGGTAAATTTGATGATTCCTACTTCGCCCATCCTCCTCCTCTAATCCTCATTGCCCCGTACACCCCTAATTTTGTGGTGTCGTTTTAGGAAAAAATGATGATGTATTCTCTGAAAATAATTTGAAATGTCGTTACCAAAAATAATTTTGTGGTAAGGTTATTCTTGAAAAAAAGTTACCAGATCACGGGAAAAGTAATTTTTAGTGCCCATCCAAGAAAGAATATCCAATAAATTAGTACGAAAAATTGCAATGAATATCACAAAAATCATTCATAGCCGCTTTTAAAAATAACTTTATATGTAGTACAGAAAACCTGCATTTAATTACCAAGAAATTAGTTACATTTTGGGGGGAAATTATCTTTTCGATAATTTATTTGAAAGTTTTCAAGAAACAACATTTATTACTTTCTGAGATATAATTATAATTAAGTATAAAAAAATTGTGCCACCATTTGAATTGAGACTTGTATGGAATTCCTAATTGTTACCGAAATATGAATTTCATAGAAATTAAATCTATATAGAGTTAAAATTTTATAAAATGCTCCCTCCGTCCTAGAATTATTATCATAGTTGTTATTTTTGCATAATTGTATTTTTTTTTGCATGTTTTGTTAATCATTTGATAAAATAAAGTATTTTTTTATCTCTTGCTTTCTAGTACATTTGATGTAGAGTTTAAATACCTAAAATTTTTTTATTTTGGGTCAAATATTCTTTTGGTCCCTATAAAATAAGCAATTTTTACTTTTAGTGCATCTAAAACATTTTTTTTATTAAGTCACCCCTAAAAATAACTTATTTTGCAAATAGTCCTTTACTCCTTTCACTATTTATTTTAATTTTAGAGTTAATGTTGAATTTGTTTTTAGCCCCTACAAATTAGTGATTTTGTTTTTTGTCTGTCTAAAATGTTTTAAATCCAAAGCAATTTTGTTTTTGGGTCCTTTTAAACCCTAAGAAATTAACTTTGAGCGGGTGGGAGGACCATTTGCAAAAACACATATTTTACAAAAATAATTTGGTAAAAAAATATTTTAGAGGGACTAAAAGCAAAACCCCTCATTTCACAAGGATCAAAAGTATATTTAACTATTTTATTTGAATACCAATTTGTAAAAAAAATTGTTTAAGGGAGATAAGATTTTACATGTAGTACGAAATTAGACGATAAATTTGAGACGAGGAGAGTAGTCATTATCTATAATACAGAGTAGTAATTAGCTGTTGATGGTGCAAATTAACTAGATTAGACTAATTATTCCACACGAGATATGAGATAATGAACTAAATCTCTAAACTAATTACCAAAATCGGATACAATGTAGAAAAACTACTTCATAATCTAATTATTACTCCTTGTTCATTATAGTACGAGGGATTTACATGGGGCTAGTAACCTGAAATCGAATCTCATCAAATAAAGATTTATGGGAACATTTATAGATGAAAATGAGATGCCAATGCCAACTACTACTAACATTGATGGGCATAAACTCAATATTTAAGTTTGCTCTAAGAGGAGAATTTATGCGTCAAATTTCCCGAAAGGTTACCAGAGCTAAGGATTTTTTTAGAAGAAATCTTATGCATTAGTAACATAAAAATACCGAAGCAACAGATAAAAATTACGGAGTAATTTAGTTGAGTTGTTAAAATCATATTTACAATTGCATACTTTTATACTCTTTCTGTCCCAATTTAAATTGTCTGTTTGTCTTTTTTCTCCGTCCCAAAATAAGTTGTCTGTTAGTTGTTATCGTAAACTTTTAAAAATAAAATACCTAAACTACTCCTAAAATAAGTCACCTTTCTTCACCTTATCTTCTAATTCATAGTCACCCCTTCTAAAAAGTAATGGCAATTTCGAAAAATCAATTCTATTTTTTCTTTTCCTTAAATATGCCTAAAAGTCAAAACAAGCGATTTAAAACGGGACGAAGGGGGTAGTATATTGGGTGCATTTTTTCAACATAGATTCCAGTCAGTACTAAGGCCATGTTCTCACTTCTCTTAACCTGATCTGAATAGTTCTGATCTGATTGGAATAAGTTCTGATATAATCTGGTCTGCTCTGATCTAAATGTACTTATATTTAAAGTTGTCTCTGATCTAATTTTGTCTGAAAGACTATTTCCAATGCAGCTTATAGCTTATGATTTCAAGTCTAAAATGGACTCCAAAACTATTTTTTAGCATAGCTAAGATCAAGTGCTTTTCGCTTATGCATATTTTTTTTTGGGGAATCTATCATAACCTTAAGCACTTTCTAAACATATACCAATGATTGAGGATAACAATCACGTTCATATACAGTATAAATTGAAAAAGACACAAATATATACTCAACTTTCTTTACAAAATCAAAGCAATCAATGATGATTCATACTACCAAATAATATATACTAATCTTTCTTTACACATATATCATGAGAAACAGTCTAAATTAATCGAGTGATGGTAAAACCATTGTCAACATGGTACTAAGGTTTATGGGGTGCATGTAATCGTTGGACCCAACCATCATCTGATCAACAATTATTCTATTAGCTTTCTCCGATGGGTGGAATGCGTCCCAAAATGCATATTCCTCTCTATTGGAACACAAGTTGGATAGCGGGGTGCAAAATCCCAACCCGTTGTACGGTCCTTGTCCACAACATGCCACGCGTGATGTCACAAATCCTACACCCGTCCCACCCAACACGAGGTTAGTCTACACATAATGCATATAAATGTATCATGATAATGGTAGATCAAACATATTAAAATTCACATCTTTTAGAAAAAGCAATATGGAAAACTTCAATATTTAAACAAGCAGATTTAAAAGTAAAATAAAGAGAACAAAATCTATAAAGACTAAAAGGCAAGTAAAATGCATTCCTTGTCTCCTCTGTTTCACGACTTCACACACACATCAAGACTTCAGACTTACAACTAAGATTCTGATCTTAAGGGGTGTTATTGAACATGTAAACATATGTCAAATATGTTGGGACTGTATGTCTGAAGTGATTTGTTTTTGGACACTTCCAAAAGGCCTCATATTAATGGAGTTAGGTGAACACATATATATTGGTTAATTTCTTCGTCTCCATTTGTGTGAGAATTTGTTATATGTTTCTCAAGAAGATGTTCTATCACGTTGTCCATCCCTCCAATTGCTAGTGCATAAAATGAGGAAACTTGTAGCACATACTGTACGTAGTGCTTAATAGTTAAGGCTAACTGAACTTTTTTTTATCAAGGAATAGGGGGAATTAAGTACTGAACTACTAACTGAACATCGGCAATAGGGTGAACTTTTTTTTAATCAAGGCAAGCTTGTACTAAAATGAAATCTCCAAATAAAAGAGAAAGAATTCAAATGAGGAGTGACATTAATAATTTATTTTCCAAACACACTTACACATGTGTGGGCTTTAACACTCATGTGGAGCATGACATATGTAATTCTTTTTAAAATAGGGTGAGAGTGAACTTTAAACCTAGGATCTTCTAAGCAAATAGATGATTTGAATGATCAACTTGATCTAAGGACACAAGCTCATAGAGATTGAGAGATATTTAATATTGTCTCTAATAAAGGTACAACTCGAATAAATTATTATGAATTTAGTCTAGAGCAAAGGACATACCAAAAGTTTGAGGGCTGGTGATGAAATCCATGTGCATTTTGTGTGCATTGGCAGCGACAAAAACATCGTATCCAATGTCATTGTTAATAGCTTCAACCATTTGGACGAGCTGAGGGTTGTAGAGGGAAGCGGCTCGTTGAAGCTCTGAAGCACAATCAGCATCTATGCTATGTTGCGCCATTTCTGCTGGCGCGCACCCCAGAGGACCGGTCCCTGTAACTATCACCGTTCGAGCTCCCAAATTGTATAGTCTCTAAACATATCATTCAATAATAATGAATCAAATGATAACACAATCTCAAAATCTGTTCCCACCCTCTCAAAAAAAGAGAAATGCTTATTCCCTCCATTCACTTTCAACAGAATTTTTCCCATCCTTTTGTGAAATATCAAAAGTTGAATGGATATGGACATACTTCACGGCTACCTTTTTTCGTTTTTCAATGTATCAAAAAAGTCATAACGATCAGTTAGAAATGGGGGAATATGTTGGTATGAGACATTTATGTTTGAAGCTTGGGTAATAAGATTTAAAAGTCCGCCTTATATTATTACTGATAAAATTTGATAATAATTGGTCTTATTGAATAATGAAGGATATATCCTTATATATAAGGATTACAAGAGAGATTTCAAATCCTAGTAGAATAAGAATTATGGTGATAATACAATAAGAAAATAATAAAAAAAGGAATGTAATTAATAATAATTTTATTTCCTATTATCAGTTAATATTCCTAATAATCACCTCAAGGACGTTCTTGTATTCAGAGATGATGAAGACGACATAATCGGGAAGGGCATATTGGCGAGATCTTGCAGAAAAGGGGACCAAGAAATAGTTGTTGACAAAGTCATTTCCGCCAAGGGAGATTAGGACAAGGGCTTCTTTTACCACATTTGTGCCATTGTCACTCCCAACCAATGCATTCAACCTTTCTTGGTATTCTGCAAAATAGTCCAGCTGTTGGTGTATCCTTATTATATTCACCTACAAAAGAATTAATTAATTAATATTAAGTGTAAATCTATATGCATAATGCGGTTGATGGATAACATAACATTCTAGAATTGAAAAATCAGATCCAAATATGAAAACAGATTTACATATTTGTGGTTGATGGATATATTTTTATTTGATTTTGTTAATTGATTTTTGCATAAATCGTATAATACAAACATTGAATTTGGTTTTGTCAATTGATTTCGTATATGTTTTGCAGAACTAATGATTATACGAGACAGTAATACGAAATTGGAATTTGATTAACGGGGCGGAGCTGAGCTTACGAATTGGATTCCGGTGTCATCTAATATACCGACTCCGGCGGACGCAAAGTTGGCTCCCACCAGAAGCTTTTCCCCGTCGAGCTCCGGATTCAGGTATGGCAATATCGGTTCCGTCCCCAGCTTTTCACCTAAGTAAATCAAAAAAACCATAAACCAAAATCCAGCTTGAAATGTTTTACAAATTGGTCAGAGCTTGGCCCATACAACATATAACTAATTTAGAGTAGGGATCATTCCCGCATCGGGAGAAAATAGAGAGAATCAAAACATATATAGTTATCCAATCTTATTAGGCTAATGTGTCCTTGGGATAAGGGCACACGCGTAGGGTGGACACGATACCGGTACGGTACCGTGACCGGCAACAATACCGCCGGTATCCGCCACCGTCACCGCCGGTCGGGACGTTCCACCGGTTCCCGGAACTGGTACCTCCCACTCCGAGTGGGCGGTACTGGTTCTGGTACCCATTTTTCGGTACCGGCGGTTCCGGTATCGTTATTAATTTTTTTTATTTCATTCTTTCCTTTATCAATTTCATTTTTAGATTTTTTATTTCATCTTTTCCTTTAACAATTGCACATTTATAATTTTTACACTTTAAAAATTTAATAAAAAAGCAAAAAAAAAAGAAAATTAATGTGATAAGGGTACACGCGTCTCATCATGTGATATCGTAACCCAGGTTCATGTGGGTAGGAGTGGCGAACTGCGCAGTGTGAATCTTGGTGTGACGGTTTAACAACATGACCAAGACCAGAAAAAGATCTCCAGGTGGTGCCATGTGTCGAAAGTCTTCATGACAAGAGGAGGTTGCGCAGCGTGTCTCACAATATTGTAGCGGTGATACAAGATGACTTGAGGATCAAATTATTGTCTAGTCACCGAAGAGGAGATTTGCGGTTCGAGCCTTGCGTCAAAAGTCTTTCCAACAGGAGGTCGGGCAGCGTGTCTCGCAAAGAGTGTAACAACGATACATACAAGATGCTTAGCAGATAAAATGGATCGTCGTTGGAGGGGAGATAAAGAATTTTGTGCGGTCTTGGGTTGGGGGAGGGGGGGTGTTGGAAAGACACCTGCCCCATTCCTACATCGAAAGAAAAGAGAGGAGAGAACCAAAATATATATGATTGTCCAACCTCATTAGTATGATACCTTTTGGAAGGTATCCAAAAAAATATCCGTGAGAACTTGGGTCAGAGCAAATAATACGGAGTATCATACTAATGCGAGGTTAGACTGAGGATACGCGTGGAGTCTTAGCTTAGACTCTTAGTGTGGTGTTTGTGCCTCTACACATCTAGATTTGTTTTCTTGCTTTTGATGCAATAATGAAAGTTTTGTTTTCTTTAGAAAAGAAGGTACAACTTACAAATGTAGTAAGAAAAAATTGCTCCATCTAAGACTGAAAGGTAGTACGTTTTCTTGAATAAGATCAAGTATGCTTTATTTCTTTTATGACATATATTTTCATATGATATGATCTCTCACATATGTTCTCATTAGCAATAAATGTTGGATAATGACTGATTATACGAATGTGGCCATTAGCAATAAGTGTTAGATAATGACTGATTATTTCAACGACTAGTCAAATTGTTTTTAAAAATGTCTTATTTTACTTGAATTCTATAATAAGCCATTTTTTTCAAAGACATGACTTTTTAAAACTTTCCATTATCAAACGTTAGAGTAGATAAGACTGATCATATATATTTAAGAAAAAGATATGTTTAAATCCGGTTGGTGTAAGTTACTCATCTAATAATTATATAAAAAGTTTTAAAAATAAAACAAGATGTAAGAGGACAATCACGGCACGGAGGTATGGGAAGGTGTACATAGGTAATTAGAGGAGAATGACGAGGGAGGGCTTAATGGACAGAATCAATATTGGGGATATGATGGAGATATATATATATATATATATATATATATATATATATATATATATATATATATATATATATATATATATATATATATATATATATATATATATATATATATATATATACTTAACTGATGAAATCGGGGATGCTAAGGCCGTTGGAGAAGCGGCCGGTGGGAAGGTGGGTGGGGTGGTCAATCCCATAGGGCGGCGAGTCGGCGCGTGCAGTGGTGGCCAGGTAGTTGTTGTTCCCGTTGTCCACCAATGAATCTCCGAACACCAAAAATGCACGCCGCCGCCCTTCCGCCGCCACGCCCCCGCCGAGTGCCGCCACAGAATAACCCATCACGAGGATGAACGAATAATAACAACAACAACACGTCATGCATGGTAGCAGAACCAGCAGCCATTTCATTTATTATTGCTCTGGAGTCTAGCTCGCTGGCTAGCTTGCTGTGTAAATTATTAGTCTGTGCTTTTAATTTATTTTTCAGGCAAAGCATACAAAATCCTTATATAAGCCGGTAGGAATTAGGATAAAAAGCTTTACCTGGAAAAAAAAAGGATGGGCCCCTCCCGAAGGCACCCTCAGATCCGGCTGGATGGTTATTGAGAGAAAATAAATTAGACTTTGATCGCAAATTGATGGCAAAGCGCAGAGCATGCATCTAAAACTTGCAGAGACTCTATATTTAGCATAGTTGCCTCCCAGCACAGTTGCATGAATCAGGCCGGTCTTACCTCCGTGACCTTCCGTTTCACAAAATACTTTCACCCTAATTTTTTGGGCACCAAATACTTTCACCCTAATTTTTAGACATTTTAAGTGGAAGTAAAAGTGTTTTATGTTGTGCGCAGAAAATTAGGGAGGAAATGTTTCTGATGGTGTAAATTACTTGACCGGTCAAACTATACTAGACCGGGTCTAGAATAGTTCGCTTGATTTGGCAAAGTAAGAAAGGTAAAAACACGCAAATTGACCGGTAGGACTTTAGGTGGAACACCTGTAGCCCAATTTATATTATAACGGAGAATGCACGGGTGCTTTTACAAGGGAGTTTAGAGAGAGTGAATTCGGCCCCCCCTTTCTGAGGTTTACATGAGTATTTATACTAGGCTAAGGGGACAGGTCCACGTGCGCCCACGTGGGGGCATGCTGCTGATGTGGTGCGAGGTGACTGGTTTCGTCCTCAAGCTGCCTTGTCGCCTTGTGAAGGGGATCATTCCCTTTGTCAAGTAGTGCCTTGGATGGATTCTCCAGCATCTCCAGTTGTCCTCTACTGACACGGGTCGCTACACGCCAAGCCCTCGCAGATCCTCCTCTGCCGACACTTTCCAACCTCAGAAACTACACTGGGTAATCTCCGGGAGGTGAATTCATTGAAGTTTGGAATAAATTGGATGATAACGTAGTTTGACTGGTATACTTTTTGTGAAGTGTACCGGTCAAATTTTGGCCGATGATATATCGTTTTGCTGACGATTTAAGTCTCCCTTCGAAAACTTTCGAGATTGACCGGTCAAGGATTTGACCTCCTCCTTTGACCGGTCTTGGGTGAAATACACCCATCAATAAGCCCTCCACTTCTCGGTCGTGCAATTTGTCATGAGCGGGAAGTGAAAAGTCTGAAGTAGGACTCCAATTTTGAAGTTTTGGCCCTTCCCGCCTAAAATTTTTGAAATTTGAATTTCAAACTCTGACTTTTGCCACGTGTCGCGCACCAACCGTTGCAATCAGTCGGCTGCAGACCTGCCGTTTCGCCTGCCAGTGGGTCATCATTGCGCTGCCTGACGCGGCGTGTTCTCGCGTGGCCACGTCGCTTCCTTTGGCCTCCTCTCCTCCTATATAAAGGCCTTCAACCCATCTCCTTTGTTCACTTTCCGCGATCAAGTCTCAGAGCTTTCACCGGTCAAGTTTCTTCTCTTTCGCTATCCAGCCCTCCGAGCCAAGTAAGTGTCCCCTTCCTTCTCTACTTTCCCGGTCATGTCTTCTCTTAGCGATAGGATCTCTTCCTCAGGGGACTGCTCCTCTGAGGACTCCAACTCTTCTTCTTCGACCGAGTCTTCTTCTCTTGACTCTACACCCGGTCAGGTTCCCACTCCTCCGTCCCCGACCCGCATCCTGTAAATCAGGTGCCCGGTGAAACCTTCGAGGGGAGGGATGACCCGGTTGATGACGAACCGGGTCCCTATGATCCCGAACACGAAACCCGGGATGCGTGGGAGGCGCGGCTTCATGCTGCCGGTTACTTTCCACTCCCCACCTTCTACGTCCTTGACATACCTTCCCGTGTATCTAAAACTGCCTTAAACAAAATCCGTAGGAGGCTCCCGGATGGGTATACCCTCCTGTACGAACCGAACTGGCCCAACATCGTTGAACCCCACCGGGAGGATAGGATAGGGTTCCATACTATTTCCCTGGATGCGGGCATAGTTTTTCCCCTTCGCCCCCTCCTTACTGAGGTTTGCCACGCGTTTGGGATTTTGCCCGGTCAAATAACTCCCAACGCCCACCGGTATCTCCATTCCTTTGTAAATATCTGTACCCATCTGAAAATCTTCCCTTCTTTGCGTCTTTTCCTTTTTTGCTTCGAAGTCCTACCGGGCGGGTCTGGCTGTGAAGGCTTTGTATTCTTCAAAGCCCGCACCGGTAGGAAGTTCATTTCCGAAGTCCCCCAGAGTAATCGGGGATGGAAGGAAAAATTTGTTTTCATCGAGTTTCCTCCCTTCTTCACTCCTCTGGCCGGTCTAAAATGGAATGACCATCTACTCGACCAAGAGTATGCTGCACCGGCCTCCTCCCCAGACTTGGAAGCTAACCTCGAGATCCTCATGCGCGGGGATCTTCAAACCGGGAGGATCTTCCATCAAGGCAGCTGGGTTTGGAGGGTAGAGTCGGGTGGTGAGGGTACCTCCCAGGCCCAGGAAGCAGCAGGGCACGGGGTACCCTCCCCGGGCAACACTGCAGAGGCCGAGGGCCAAAACCACCCAGGTATTTATCCTTTTCTTGTGTTTCGTAGTTTAACCGGGCAAACTATCTGTACTTAGTTTTTTTAGTTTGTTTTGCAGATATGGAGTTTGAGGAGTTCACCATCCCTGACGACCAACCAGCCGGGGAGACCGGGGGCTCCCAAGCCAATCCTGCCAGGACTTTCCCGGTCAATCCAGAGGCCGTGGAAATCCTGGATGAAGATGAGCCCCAAGAAGACCGGTCTAAGGGGAAGGAGAAGGAGAAGGCCGGTCGCCGGGTGAAGAAGGTGGCCACCACGCACCCCTCCTATGCCAAGAAGAGGGCCCGGTCAGATCCTGAGTCGGCCGGCCAGACCATCGAAGAGGCCTTCGTCAACCTGGGGCTGAGGCTGAAGGAGGTAAATTCTGCTGCTATCCCGGTCTTGATCCCTCTTCGCTATTATTCCATTCTTACCGGGCTTCTTTTTCCTCTTGTGCAGGCGGGGGAGATTGGACCCCTCACAGCCGACCGGCTTAGTTTAAGCTCTCCCTCTGAGTTTGCCCGGCTGAAGAAGGAGAAGGAGGAGATGGCCCTCATCTTGAAGAGCCAGGCTGATGAGCTGATCCGGCTGTCTGGGCTGGCCGGGGCAATGAAGACTGAAATCTCCCAACTGAAAGAGGAGAATGGCCGGCTTTTGGACGAAGTCTCTGAAGCCAAGAGGGAAGCAGCGGAGAAGGAAGAAACCTTCCCCGGGCGCGCTGTCGCCTGGGTTGAAGAGAACAAAGTCGTTGCTGCCCGGGTGATGACGGCGACTCCCGAGACCACGATGGAGTCCTTCAGGCTTCTTTACCGGGAGCCTTAAGGAAGAAAGATGATTACCGCGATTGGATCCTTCGGATTCAAGAGCGGTCAAAAGAAGGACAGGATCACCTCTCACCGGGTACTGCTCAGAAGAGATCCGGACTTCACCGCTGCATCATACGGCTTGGCCTCTATCTCGGAAGAAGAGCCGACTCCCCCCTTCCCCCTTAACTGATCTCCCCGGCTGTGCCCGGTTATTCTTTGTAAAACTTTTAGTAGAGATTCCCCCGGGTATGCCCGGCGTACTTGTAAACATTTGACATTTTTAAATTCGAATGCCATGTTTGTTTTCTTTACCGGTGAATCTTCCCTATCTGCCTGCTTGTTGATTTATACTCTGCTTTTGCTTCTTATAAATCCTGACCGGTAGCCCAATCAGACCACTTCTCAATTGTTTCTGACCGGGAGAACTTCAAAGTCCTCCCTGATCACTTTATCTGAAGGTAGCTCGAGTAGCTTTGACCGGTATAACTTCAAAGTTTTCTCTGGTCCTTTCATTTCAAGGATCAGTCCGAGAAACTTTGACCGGTTAAACTTAATTTTTTGCTTTTCGAACATCTTCATCACTTTGGCCAACTTAAATAGTTTGACCGGCCGAACTTTACTTTCACATTTTGGATATCTTCATAAATTCTTTAATTTGACCGGTGAATTCCAACTCCATGAAATTCTTCCAATGGACGTAGAACTTTCGAAGTTCTGTTGTGCCCATACCCGACCGGGGTATTTTTTTTTCCGGTAGGTTGTAGATGGAAACACCTGTAACCTAGTAATTCTTGAAGTATTCTTAACCGGTAAGAAAACTGGAGATTTAACCATGTCGAATGCTTTCGAACCCTCTCCAAGGTTCAAATGCACCCTTCTTCCAGGGCCCCCTCTTCCGGGTGATTAAGTCTTTTAATGGCCCTTTGATTTCTACCATCCCAGGAAGGCCTTAGCTCACCCCCCCCCGTTCAAGTCTTCCCTGAGAAGGGGAATATAGGATGCGCCACGGTGGACGATCCCCTTCTATTTCTTTTAATGGGCATCTTTTTAGTCCCCAATCAATTTGACGGCGCCGGCTGATTCCCCGACACCAGTCAAACCTCATGGGCCCGTGTAAGTACGGTTCGAACCCTCTTCCAGGTCCAGCCCTCTTGCGGGCATACCCTCTTCCGGGTTTCGATATTTTTTCTATTATACTGAGCAAGACCGGTGTAGTAACCAGCGTGCCAGGTCCGGGCCTGTGTCTCAGTTGGCTTAGCCAAGTGGATTCGATCCACCTAGGAAGCCCTCCTAGGATAGGTTCGACCTATCATTCCTGCCGCTACCAAATAGAGTATTGAACATCATCGGTTTGATTGATAATAAAGTAGGCCTTGCCTAGTATTACAATCATTTGTAGAACTTGCGAAGATGATGGGAATTCCAGGTTCTTTCCACCGGTACCCCTTCAAGAGTTTCTAACCGGTAGGTCCCCGGGCGAATGATGGCTCTAACCCTATATGGGCCTTCCCAGTTTTTTGCTAGCTTTCCTCCGTCGCCGGGTCTACTTGCTTCTCTTCTTCGCAGGACATCATCCCCAACTTGGAAGTACCGTGGCCCAACCCTGTTGTCAAGGTACTTCTTCACAACTTGTTGGTATGTGCTCATTTTAACTTCCGCGGCCATTCTCCGCTCTTCGACCAAGTTGAGTTCGGCCAAGTGGTCTTTCTCATTCCGCTGGGGTTGATAGTTTGATTCCCGGAATGTTGGGAATTCAGCTTCGATGGGCATCCTTGCTTCACATCCATAGGTTATGGAGAATGGAGTTTCCCCATGAGCCCTCCTGGGTGTCACCCGGAATGTTGGGAATTCAGCTTCGATGGGCATCCTTGATTCCCGGATTGTTTCCTGCTTCTCCCAATCACTTCTTCAAACCATCTACAATAGTTCTGTTGGCGTTTTCGACTTGGCCATTTCCTTGGGGGTACGCCACCGAAGAGCGATTGTGCTTGATCCCGAAGCCCTCCAAGTATTCAGTGAATCTTGGATTTCGGAATTGTGGGCCGTTGTCGGTGATGAGGTTTATGGGCGCTCCAAACCTTGTGATGATGTTCTTCCAAATGAATTTCTTGCATTGTTGCGTGGTAATGTTGGCCAATGCTTCGGCCTCGATCCATTTGGTGAAGTAATCGATGGCTACGATCACGAACTTCTTCCCTCCTTGGGCGACTGAGAATGCTCCAATGATATCAACCCCGAACCTAGCGAATGGGATGACGTTCGATACGGGGTGATAGTAGGTTGCTGGCCTACCAGGGTACTTGTAGAACACTTGACATGTTCTACATTTCTGTACATACCTCTCACAATCCTGGACAATTGTTGGCCAGTAATATCCCAACAAGATGATGCGCTGGGAAAGCGTACGGGACATTTGATGCGCCGCGCATACGCCTTCGTGGACTTCCGCTATGACTCGCTCAGCCTCCCGGTTGATTAGACATCTCAGGAGTGGCCCCCCAAATACCCTTTTATACAGCTTTCCATCAAGAATCTGGAATCGGGGTGCCCTGAGCTTCACTTTTCTTGCCCGGTCATCTTGTTCTGGCAAGCTCCCATCCGTCAAATATTCCATCAGATCATACATCCAATGGTCGTCCGCCCCGACCAAGTTTGATTGGTCAAACTGGCTTCCGGCCGTTATAGCGGCGACTTCCAATTTCTCGATGCTTGCACGGTCAAGGATCTCTACCCGGGCAAGTTTTGAAACATGCTCGGGAGCATATTGCGTCACTGGCCAGGTACCGCTTCTTTTGGCGTACCGGTCGACTTCCCTCCCTCAGAGCCAACCGGTGGCAGATAACAGAGCGATCTATCCCGGGCATATCCGCCACGCTCCATGAGAATATGCCCGCGTATTCTTGGAGGACCCGTGTAATCTGCTCCTTGAGATCCTCGGGGAGATTTGCTCCAATTCTGACCATCCTCAAAGAATCACCCGGGTGAAGTTCGATTTCCACCGTCTCAGCCTCGGGTTCCAGTTTCTCCCAGGTCTCTCCCTTTGTGATCTCTTGGGAGATGACATTGACCCCCCTGGTCATTTTCTTGACTGCCCGGGCATAGCATTCCCGGGCGTTCCTCTGGTCGCCCTTCACCTCACCCACACCACCTGGAGTGTGGAACTTCATGCATAGATGAGGCATGGAAATCACCGCCCCGACTTTATTGATGCCTGGCCTTCCTAGGATTGCGTTGTGGACGCATTTGATGTCCACAACTATGAACCGCATCTTCTTCCACACGGTCTTTTCACCTGATCCTAGTTCGACCGGTAGAACTATGGATCCTTCAGCTTCAACGGTATCCCCCGTGAAGCCTGAGAGAGGGGTTTTGAGGGGTTCAAGTTGTGTTCGACACAACCTGAGTTTTTGGAAGGTCTCCAGGTATAAGATGTTGACACTGCTACCGGTATCAACAAGTACCCGGGCGACATCTACCCCATTAATGTCCATGGTGATGACCAATGGATCATTGTGATCTTCACCGGTAGGAGGGAGATCCCGATCAGTAAAGACGATTGGCTCCCTCCTAGTATGTTTACGCCTGGGCGGTTCAGCACTTACCTCTCCAACGTAAATGCTCCGGACCCAGTTCTTCCGCTGCGCGGCTGAATCTCCACCCTCAGGTCCGCCGAAGATCATGCCGATGTGTTCCTTTTCGGGGGCAGGTTGCTGCTCCCTTGGCCGGTTATTCCTCCGCCGGTCATTGTCCCGGTCATTCCCTGGGGCAGTTGGCCTAACCCACTGATGACTCTTCTCCTGGGCTTTCTGCAAGTAATCTTTGCCCAGCTCTCCACTGTCGATCATCTGCCGGATGACCCCTTTAACACTCTTGCATTCGGAGGTGTTATGGGAATCAGACCTGTGGTATGAACAATAGGTGCCCGACCACTGCCGCCCTACTTGACCGGTAGGGTTTTCAAGAGGAATGACCAGTGCTTTCCGGACTTCTTGGCATTCTTCTGTATTGACCACTCGGATGACCGGGTCATAGTGGTGCCTTGGCTGGCTAGGTCCCGGTGCTTCTTCCTTCTTGACTTGCACCGGCTTGGGCTTGTGACCATGTTCAGCTTCTCTCTTTGCCCGGAGCTGGGTTTCAGCTTCAGCAAACTCCCATGCAGTATGGTAGGCCTCTTGGTACGTGGCTGGGGGTTTCCGGCAGAACTCCTTGTATAGTTCCCCAGCACGCAAGCCATTCAAGAGGAGGGAGAGGACGGTCTTGTCATCCATCTCTTCCACCTTGTCTACCTCTTCCTTCCACCGGGTAAGGAACTGAGTGAGGTTCTCAGACTCCCTCTGCCCGGCTGTACTAAGATAGGTGAACTTCTTCCTCTTAGTACAATTCTCCTGGAACTTGGCCTTGAATTTTGAGGCCAAATCACTGAACGAGTCAATGCTTCCCGGGCGAAGCTTATTGAACCATTCAGTGGCT